GTGGAAAATGATGTTCAATTTATTGATACCTTTCTCTACCAGATATCTTGTAGAATCAGGCTTTAGTGCTGTTAATCATATTATGAGCAAACAGAGAAACCGTCTGAATATCACCGAAAGAGGAGACCTTCATTTGTTCCTTACGAAAATCGAACCAGATATCAAATATTTAGTCTCGCAGCATCAGCCTCAAGGATCTCACTAGTAAAGCTTTCAATTTACTTTATTGTTTTCTAATTAAACTTTATAAAGTTAAAAACATTATAAACATGCATAAAGTAGAAATAAAAAGATAAATTGTAACGGATCACCTGGCACCCCGACTGGGTACCTCCACTGAAGGATGCTCCTAGCGCTTCCTGAGGACTCCAAGCACTGCAGCAGACACCAAAACCACCGAACTGTAGGAGCATATGAATGCTCTCAAGCATGTGAATGTTGTATACAGCTGAATAGGAAAAACCATGCGAATAGGTTTACACTCCTAGCAGTCAAACTGGAACAGCATACCATGAATCCTCCCCCAATAATGAGACGACACTTCACTTTGAGGGTTAAGCAGGAACTGACTGTACTGGCACATACAGCCTTTTTTATTCCCAATCCACAAACCTAGCACTGCCCACAGGGTTTTACAGAACAACCAATCAATCTGTACAATACACACTGACACTCCCACACAAAATCCTCCCCTCTGCCTGTGATATGATTACTGAACACAATGGGTAATCTAATTATCACAGATAGAGAAATACAGTTTCATAAAACACATCACAGGGACCCCAAAACATGCAATAACCCCATATATCCTTGGAACCGGGGGATCTGGGTGAACCACATATCCCAAATTTACCCAGATCCCTTAAGTACTTTGGAAAATACAGTTTAATGCAGATTCTGCAGAACATATACAGGCTAAATGAAAAACAATCACTGTATAATGTGTCCCCTGCTGTATAGTCCAAAACCACTGCGCGATGTCTCTGTGCACCAAATACTGGCGAGATGGCACCGTGTTGAAAAGTCCAAACAGTGTCTGTGAGTTAAAATGGCCGCCATCCATTGTTCTCACCATGTGCATCTGATGCAGGAAATGGTGGCCACCCAGTAACTCCACAGTATGTCCCCAGATGGTTCTTAAAGGGCCAGCAGCAGCACAACACAAATCCATTATGCCCAAATCATGTCTTTAAAGGGCAATACATCCCAGGGGCCATAGTCACATGGCAGGAGGCAGGCAATCAGTCTTCTCCAATGCCCAGTGGCGAGGTCGGTTTTGCCACATAAATGTAGGTACATTTATTTTTTTTAAAATGCCCTCCTTTCTAAAAAATATTCTGCGATTGCGCGAAAAATGGTGGGCGGTAAGGACATTTTTCCATCAAGAAAGATGCATTAGTGGGCGGTAGGTAGAAAAAGGTTGACTACCACTGCTTTAGATAGTCAAACTGAAATCTTTAAAAAAGAATTGGATAACAGTACTGCCCTAACAACAAAACGAATGGAAGAAATCAACATGAAGATAGCTAAAGTTGAAGAAAACCAAGAACAAATACTAAATCACTGCAAATTAATTACAGAAGAACAAAATAAGATGAAGTTAGAACTAGGAAATGTGGACAATCGATTAAATTTGATTGAAGAAAGAATGAGAGCGGCAAACATAAGGATACAAAAGGATACCAGAAGCCATTTCCTATGATAAAATAAAAGAGTATTTATTGGATCTCTTTGCAGCATTAAATTTACAAGTACAAGTTCCGGCAGTATGTATGGAAAATATATATAGAATTAAAAAACCACAAGGAATTCAAAATGATTATCCCAGGGACACGATTGTTACTCTACATTCTCTGTTTTTCAAGCAACAAATAATCTATAACAAAACAAGGGGTAGAGTCAGCGCTAATCCATGAAGGCAGCAGTCCCAAACAGGGAATCCCTCTAAAGTCCCTGGGAATCAGATAGTAAAAACAGGAAAAGTGGGGGGATGGGTCTGAGCCAATGAGCACAATAAATAATAATATTAAGTCCAATGGGATCTATTTTGTCGCATCCAAGGGTCTACTTCAGTGATATCCAGAAGGTGTTGATGGTGTGAAGAATAATCCAGATATGTAAAAAATAGAAGAGGTCTTACTTACAATTGGCAGAGCTTAACCCAGCTCTGGTGTGAAGGGCTTACAGCGGTATTATCCCCGCTTCAGGATATGCAGCAAGTGTCCTCTTCTTTGTAGTGGCAGGTAACCAAGTTGGGAAATAAAAGTAGAGACAGTAATGGTGCAGTATGTTCCACACGTATGATAAAAATGATAAAATATAGTAGATACACTCATATTCGCTAGAGCTTTGACTAGCTCTAGTTGATTAGGCGTACAGCGGTATTATCCCCGCTTGTGGGATATAAGGTGAGTGATCTTGACTTGGACCTCGGGAGCTCGGAGAGAAGATAAAACAGCGATAGTGCTCTCAATAAAAAATTTTTGTAAATAAATAAAATAATAAAATATACTCACAATATATAGGGCAGGCTAACTGCTCTATGTAACAGCGTGGGTGGTATAATCCCCACCTAGGATTCTTTGGAGTATAATATCCGGAAATTAAAAAATTAAAATGGATATAAAACGTATTGTTAAAAGAAAAGAAAAATACTATATAAAAGGCCAGGTAAAAAACAAAAGATGATGGTTTAAACATAAAATTAACCAAAATCTTTTTATTGACAGTATATAAAACAGTAAAAGTATCCAAACGCGTTTCGCCAATATGAGGCTTTATCAATGGATAATAAACATTTGAACCTGGCTGGTTAGAGTTTATATAGGTTTAAAATAATTTTAAAATTGGCGCCAAAATTGTACAACCAATGGTAAAACAGATCTTTTTTGCATTTACATAACAGCTTTTAGTGTTACAGATTCAATAAATATGACCTGTGTGATGCTTATAATGTGATTTTTGAGCAAAAACAAGCGTTTATTAATGACAAATTTTGTATTTTAAGCCGGATCACGTGACGCGCGTCATAAGCGCGACGTCACTTTCGGCCGGCGGTATCATGGGACATTTAGTCTAGAGATAGACTACATGTCTATAGACTGAGTGGGGACCCACATTGGGCTAGGGAAAGGGAGGGGAGGTAGATAGAGGGTTGGTTAGGAGGGGTCATGTGACGCACGTCATCGGCGTGACTTCACATCCGGCCGCACGGATACCTGGGACCTGTAGTTATAAAGTTAACTACATATAATTGAAGTAAATGAAGCCCTCTATTGGGCTAATAGAAAAGGAAACTTAGAAAATAAACTGGATCTTTGGTAAAATGAACTATATGTTTGTAAAAATAAATAAAGCCCTCTGATGGGCTAAATAGAAGGGAAAGTTTAATAATCTTAAAATAATAACGGCGGCCATCTTGGGTGGGGAAGGTGGTCCATAAGGGTAGCATAGTAAATAGCCATATTGCTGCAGGCAAAATTGGGCACCTCAATAAAATGTAAATAGTGAACACATTATAAAATACTAATACATAAGTAATAAACTATAAGGCATAAAACACATTTAGGGACACAATAAAAGTCAAATAATAATAGTGAAGTAAAAAAAAAATTATTCTTGAACCCCAAAGAATTAGAAGACTGGGCAACACAATTTAAATAATAAGAATCTAAGGAGTATGGAGAGTACTGTGGAAGAGATGGAGACTCTCTCCTTTTTTTTTTTTTTTTGTGAAATTTAAAGAAGGACACATTTATAATATATTATTTGAACTGTGGCACTATTTTAGGCTATATATTGTTTATTATATAATTATAATTTTTTTTCATATGTTTGCATAATATGAGGGTATGAATACGTAGATTAAATTTGGTTCATGGTTAATATATATATATATATATATATGATAATAGGCACAAAGTTGGGGGCAGGAATGAAGGTAAAATTCTATGCCTAAATTAGTCAAAAGGAGAAATATGTATACTATATTGCACTAGCTGGAAGTTAAGAAAATACACGTATACACGTTGGTGATCTCTTAAGGGAAGTAGAAAAAGAGGAGAGGAAAAAGGAAAGAGGTAAATGGTTTAATAGAATGGACATATAGATAACTCACTATAGGAGTGTTGCACTATGTTGAGAAATAGAATGTATAATAGATAGTTTGTAAAGGCTGGTCTGATGACCTTATTTCAATACAAAAGGGGGGTTTTGAATTAATAACACAAAAAATGGTTTACACTAGATACATGTTAAAATAGGTATAATGATAGGGATAGGAATGAGAGCCTACATTTGAAATAGAAATAGAAAAAGTAATAAATATGCACACTATTAAGTTTATGTTGGAAGTTATGTAATTACTCAGGGATTTTTTTTTCCTCCCCTCTCTCTTCTCTGTTTTACCTCACTCTATACCCCCCTATTATGAGGGGGGATGGGTGGGAGACGATGAGAGAGGGAGAAAAATGTATTAATATTCTGATCAAAATAGAAGGAGAGTTTCTCAGATGTTTTATAAAATATAGTAAATAGAGTAGATGCAATGCCAAATGGATAAAAGACCAATCCATTGATCCAATAAGAATAATTTTATAACGAGCAATATGTTATGGAAATAGAGAGGGTGATCTTCTGGGGATTATTAAAGACTGGGCTTCAAGCATCAGAGATGGGAATGGTATTTGGATTTCAACAGAGATTTTTATTTGTTGGATGTTTTTTGTGATGGTATTTGAAAAGTATGTTTTTTGTTGTTGTTTTTTTTCAAAAGGAAAGTCCATTTCTGCCCTTGGGCCCATATGCTGAACACATAAATAAGTAATCCGGTTATGATTGCCCCCCAGGAGCTTCCACTTTAAGGTCAGGTATAGACCTTAGCCCTAGACAATATGCGAGATATTGTCAACGCTTACAGATTGAGGAGATATAATGTCACCTCAATAGTAAGTAAGAGTGTGTATGGGTCTCTCTGTATTATGAGAGCTCAGGTGTGTGTGATAGATGTGGGAGGGATGGCAGCAGAAGTAGGGGTAACATGACCATGATTAAGATCTGAAGTGTATTTCACTAAATGTTCAGGGGTTAAATACCCCTTATAAAAGAATTATGATGAAGGAACTGCTCAAAAAAAAGGTATAGGTATAGCGATGTTGCAAGAGACACATTGGATTAAAGCAGATAAGATCAGGTGGAAAGACGAGGGGTATGAAATAATCTAACAAGCGTCTTTAAATAGGAAAAAAAAAAGAGGGGTGGCTATACACACTTCTCTAAAGTACATTCTTCTCTCTCTAGAATAGACTTAGTGTTGGGTGAAGCAAAGCTGGTAGACCAAATATAAGATATACATATAGAAGAGAATACATGGTCAGACCATAGCTATATTATTTTTAATACAAAAGACGATAAAAAATATAGACCCAATACTACATGGCGTTTAGACGATAATATTTTGAATAACAAGGCAGACCAAATAAGAATTGGGGAATTGATACAATGGTATTTTAAAGAGAATAACTTGGAGGAGCTCTCGGCAGCCACAATATCACGTGCATTTAAAGCGGTCGTACGGGGGTATTTGATTAAACTTTAAAAAGAGACAAAGAGAGAAAAAATATATAGAATACTACTAAATGGCCAGAAGAAATAAAAGGTTGCTAACTAGCGACTCACTCAATCAACTTTTAGAGATTAAAACGAAAATAGAGAAAATAGAAAGAGAATGAATAGAAAAAAATTTGGAGAGGATGAAAGTAAACTTTTATTATGACAATAACAAGATCAATAAATGGCTAACTAAAAAACTTAAGAAAGCAAACGGCAAGAATAGGATCAGTAGTATTAGAAAGGATTCAATATTGCATAAAAAAACAGAAAGTATAGCCAAAGCTTTTCAAATATTTTATGAAGAGTTGTACAATATACCTAACCAACCAAAAGAGGAGTTAATAAAAGAGTATCTATCTGAGGGAAATAACCTTTCCAAAGCTTTCAGAGGAGCAAAAAAAAAACAAAAACTGCTCCCCTCCAGAAGATGGAATTTATAGCTGCCATTAAGAAACTTGTGAGATATAAAACCCCTGGCCCAGATGGTCTGACCAATAGATTTTATAAACTATATGGATCAGGGCCGGATTAACATAGGGGCTGATGGAGCTGCAGCTCCAGGCCCAGGCCCAGGCCCATGGAATAGGCCCATTGATTTATAAAAAAAAAAAGGTTTTTTTTTTACATTTTTTTGTTTTTACATTTTTTTTTTCACACACTACTCTTAGGGATTCCACCTGGCTTTTATTTTATTTACACAGTGTCCCCATGTCTCCCAGTGTCCCCATGTCTCCCAGCCAGTGTCCATGGTGTCTCAGTGCCCCCAGTCTGCCAGTGCCCCCAGTCTGCCAGTGTCTCACTGTCCCCATGTCTCCTAGTGCCTCCATGTCTCCCAATGCCTCAAATGTCTCAATGTCCCCATGTCTCCAAGCTAGTGTCCCTGGTGTCCTTGTCCCCATGTCTCCCAGTGCCCCCATGTCTCAATGTCCCCATGTCCCCCAGCCAGTGTCTCTAGTGTCTGTGTCCCTGGTGTCTGTATCCCCATGTCTTCAAGTGTCCCCTATTTTCCCAGTGTCCCCATGCGTCCCAGCCAGAGTCCCCTAGTCTCCCAGTGTCACTGGTGTCTCCGTGTCCCTAGGTCTCCCCGTTTCCCCAGGTCTTCCCGTCTTCCTAGTGACATGGGGACCCTGGCATACATGGGGACACAGGGAGACATGGAGCATTGAGACACTGTGATTCATAGGATCCCTGGGAGACCTGGGGACACGACACTAGGGGACACTGGGAGACATGGGGCACTGAGACACTGATACATAGGAACACTGAGACCTGGAGTAATCGACACATGGGGGCACTGGGAGACATGGGACCACTGAGAGAAATCCATCTATACAGCAGAATCAAACTAAAGAGTTTATTGGTGATTTTACAGCATTTTCTCTTATGTCACTCCTTGTGATTTACATCATGTCACCCATACATATTTAATTATGCAAATTAGCAAGGCCGGTATGTTTTTCCAAGAAAGGTGGCAACCCTAACTACTTTTCACATACTCTTACTTAAGTATGGAAACTTAAGGGGGATGTATGGGAACACAACTTGTGTGGAATGGCTGACAATGAATATAGAGTCACTAGAGTCACCAGAACAACTACAGCTTATTGAATTTGTTCTGTTGAGTAGAACCATTACCGTCATGCTTTTTGCTGTAAACACTGTCTTTTCAGAGAAAATGCAGTCTTTACATTACAGCCTAGTGATAACTTCACTGGCCACTCCTTAGATGGCTGTTAGAGATCCTTCCTGGGTCATGGCTGCCCAAAATGCATCCAAACATTCAGTGTCTCCTCCCTCTGCATGCAGACACTGAACTTTCCTCATAGAGATTCATTGATTCAATTCATCTCTATGAGGAGATGCTGATTGGCCAGGGCTGTGTTTGAATCATGCTGCCTCTGCCCCTGATCTGCTTCTTTGTCAGTCTCAGCCAATCCTATGGGGAAGCACTGTGATTGGATTAGACCACCACTTCTAATGATGTCAGCAGACTGCTTGTTTTTCTGAGTCTAACAGCATGCAGAGTTACAGCTTAAGGCTTGAATACTGTAAGATTTTGCTATATTTATGGAGGTATAAGGGGCCCAGGGGGGCTAAATGGTGGTGTTAACACTATAGGGTCATGAATTCATGTTTGTGTTCCCGACCCTATAGTGATCCTTTAAGGTAATGCTGACTTTGGTCTTTCTAACACTTTGGCATGTTCCCTTTCTTCTACACTCACTACATACAGCTTTTCTCTGTCCCAGACTATATACCAGGAGCTTCTGCCTGCTAGTAAGAAGGTAAGGAGACAAGTGGACCAGCGAGTGCTAGGGGACAGTCCTTAGAAAGCGTTGAGCAAGCCCATCATTAGATGCATTTATGCCAAGCTCAGGTTGCTGTCTGCATTGTATGCCCTTAGTTGGCCAGCTGCATGATTGGCAGGCAGCCAGACATGCATTCATACCAGGCTGGCCTTCTAATTCTTTTGGCAGTCATATCCTCTTTTTGGGCATGTTCGCCCCTTTTGGCAGGTTATGTGATTTGTGTCAGTGGCACACCCTTTTACCGTGCCCATTGACTTCTTGCTTGACTGGACACTGCTGTTAGGGGTTATGGATTTACTTGAAAGATGAAAACATAAATTAGTGAGAGATTAGCCTAGGGTATGTGTTTTCTTATAGCTGCTGTTTTCTTTCTCTCCAGCACCATCTCCATCAGATACATGACGCTTGGGAGTGTTTTACTATTTTTGGTCGATATGATTCTGTAATTAGGCCCGTCATAATTGTCAGCACCAGGCCCACTGGGCTCTTAATCTGGCCCTGATATGGATACATCTTGGCAGAACACCTAACTAAAATATATAATGAAATATCATTGAAAGGTATAGGCACAAAAGAATTATTATACGCAAACATAATCCCAATTCATAAAAAAGACAAGGACCCCCAAGAACTAAAAAACTATCGTCCATCTCACTTATTAATGTGGACTCCAAAGTATTCTCATCCATACTAGCTGACAGGTTAAAAAAAATTGTTATGGAATTAGTGGATAGAGACCAGATAGGGTTTGTCCCTATCAGACAAGTGAGTACCAATATAAGAAGATTGATTAACGTTCTGGACTGGGGAGATAGAACTCAGATAGAACTCCTGACCCTGTCACTGAATGCCGAGAAGGCCTTTGACAGGGTCGAGTGGGGATTTATGATGGGGATACTGAAGGCAATGGGTGTAGATGGCCGGATGCTGACAGAGATAGGCTCTATTTATCAAAATCCAATGGCGAGGGTGGTGGGTATAGACTTATGCTCAGATTGGTTTCCATTAAAAAATGGCACCCGTCAAGCGTGCCTGTTGTCACCAATATTATATATTTTATTTATGGAAGCTTTTGCCATTAGAATAAGAGATAACCCTGATATTAAGGGGGTTCCAATCCCTGATAGAGAGCTAAAAATTAGCATGTATGCAGACGACACTATTTTGACTCTTACAGATCCTATTCAATTGGTCCATAACTTGATGAAGGAAATAGAAGCATACAGTAATATTTCAAATTACAAGATAAATACAGAAAAACAATAGTGATGTTTAAAAATTGTAAAAAAGAGTGGAAAAATGAATTTATAAAGACATTTGGTTTCACAGATGTTAATGGTAGCTCTGAATATTTGGGAGTACAAATATCGGATAAGATAGAAAAAATGGTAGAGCTTCATTTTACAAGGCTATTGAAATCCACTGGGCTATCGCTAAAAAAGTGGAATCCTTTGTTTTTTAGTTAGATGGGAAGGATAAACATAATAAATGCGTATATAGTTCCGAGATGGACCTACTTTTTTAGAATGGTTCCCTTAAAAATCCCCATACCTCGGTTGGAGATAATACAAAGGCTATTTAAGAATTGTATTTGGAAATGGAAGAATCCTCGGATTAAATTAGATCAATAAACTAATACTAGGGCAAGGAGGAGTAAACTTCCCAAATATTATAAGACATTACGAAGCCACTATTATATAACATACCCAGTTATTAGGCAAAAAATATTCTGACAAAACAGGTTCATTTGGACTAGAGACTCAACCATTGAATAGGCAGGAAATAAATAAGAATCTTTGTCAACCCAAGAATACTGGGAAGGAAGTTAAAAATATAATTTTAAATCATTCATTTACTAATTGGTTTATGATAAGGAAAAAACAAAAAATTCTGGGTAATATTTTTGGCTTTATGGAGATAGAAATATTGGAGGTTCTAATGACCGATTTGAAAATAGATACTTGGAAAGATCGGAATATTAAAACAATGGATTATATTATAATAAGTCTGGCAAAAGAATTTGGTCTTCCCCAAGTAAAGGCCTTTCGTTATTTAAGAATAAAGTCATTTGTAGGGAAATCTCTTGATAAGGGTAACATAACAAGTAGTGGACTCATAAAGCAAATTTTTGGAAGCAAAAGTCCTAGGAAAAATATGGCTAAATGCTAAGCATTAATTAGATCGGCTCCTAAAGACATAATGTCTAAACAAATAAAAAGATGGGAAAAGGAATGTAACCTAAAAAGTTATATTATGATCTGGGGCAATATGATGCTAAAGGTAAAAAAAATATTAATAATACGATTCTGTTTGAGACGCATTATAAAATATGCTACCGTTGGTACTTAGTGACAAGCAGACTAAATAGAATTGATCATAATGAGTCCGACATTTGTTGGAGATGTGGGAGTGAAATTGGAAATTTTATTCATATTTGGTGGAGTTGCAAATTAATTAAAGAACTATGGGATGAGGTTTTCAGAAGATTATATGTTTGGGATAAAATTTTAATAGATCAATCTCCAGCTTCGGCGCTCCTACATCTTCACTGGCCTGATATATCACTATCTCAACAATTTTTAACTATTCATTCTTTCATGGCAGTGAAGATTCTGATAGCAAGAAGCTGGAAAAATTCCACTGTTATTGATTGTAACCATTGGGAGAAACAACTGTTGTCTCAGATGAAGAATGAGATAGGCCTATATAGGGGGAAAGATAATGCACAGAAATATGATATGGGAATAAAGTGTTTACAAATTATAAGATGATTATTGAAATATAGGAGTAGTTCATTAACACACTTCAGAATATTGAGATGTCAAAGAAATAGGAGACATATAATGTATCCTACGTATGCTGTGTCCTTATCCCATTTTTTTGTGTACGAATGTTAAAAGTTATTGTTTAGATTGAATGCTAGATATGTATTGTTTTTTGGTATAAGATGTTTGTAATTTATTCTTGTGGAAAACCAAATAAAGATTTATACTAAAAAATTAAAAAAGAGTGTAAATTGTGTCCTTTAACTCTGCACTAGGCTAATGAGATATTTTATTTGGTTAATGTACCATCGAAATAGCAGATTGCTGTTGTCTTTACTGCTAGGGACAATTCAGCAATATATTCTTTGTTGAATATCATTGGGGGAAAGTATGTGTTATAGATAGCATGTTGCAATTGTAAGATCAGAAACTCCACTTTTGTTTCTTCCTGATAGTAGATCTCTGTGAGAAGTCCTTTTCCATATTGATCTTAGCACAAGAACACTTTGATCACTTTAAGAGTAGAGACTTAGAAGTGTTCCATAGGCCAATCCATAAACCTTAACCTTGTATAAAGGCACATTATTGCAGAAGATCTGTAGAGAGTTTGGTCCAAGGTCACTGATATGAAGTGTCCCAGAATCCTCACTTTCCTTCTACTTTAAGCCATTCCCAAACACACAAGAGTTTGTTTGTGGAACATTGATTTGTAATAAATTGAAAAGTAGACAAAAATAGCCACATTAGAAAGTATTGAGATTTTTTTTTAATCTCTGCTATTTTAGCCTTGATTGTATAATTCAGTTTGTAAATTCATCAAAATTCACTGTGTAGTAAATTAATTATTGGTTCATTGTGTGGGTCTGTTTGGACTCAACATGGAAACTCTGCCATCTAGTGTTGACATTTTTGCATGTCAGAGACATTTTTGCAGAATTGCACACTGGCCAATTATCTGCTTAATATACATTTTCTGCCTCCTTAGATCCAGATAATTTCTATTTGCACATACTTTGGTTTATCAAATCTAAAATTTCTGCTGCGCTTTTCTATTCAGCCACTTTCATACTATCTGCACAGCCAATTACAACCTCCTATATAGCAACATGAGGATCATATTGACTCATTTAGGTTTCTTTCTTTCTTTCTTTCTTGAAACACTTTTTTAATGTGCCGTCTGCCTAACAAATACTGGTCAGCAGCCACATGTTTAACCCTAACGCTACTGAAAGTTGTTTTTTTTAACTATTTACCAGCTGGCTGCTAGCGCTACCAGCGGGCAAACAGTACTTCAAATTATGACTTGATTGTACTTATATCATGCCTCAGAATTTGCCACTCCAGAGACTGAATATATCAAATAGGTGACAGAAAATACAGTAATATTCGACAGTTAATGGGTAATGTTATATATGATACAAGAACAAACTCCAAACATTACTGTCATATTAAATTATGCCAGAATACCTTCACATTGAACTTCTGTTAAAACCTCCATGAACAGCTGGAGCAAAACAGAATGAGGCTTAACATTTTGCAGCGGTACATTCCAATGAGTTATGCATGAGCAGGTATCTTGACATACAAAGTTCAAACAACTGTGTTGATTAAAGCAACACTTTAGCCAATATAACCACTTAATTTCATTTAAGTGTTTATTGTACCAGGAGTCCCCTGCTGCTGTCACACTATTCATTGCTAAAGGGATTCTATAGTGTTACGAATGGAAATCAGTATTCCTAACACTATAATGCATATTAATCCTTTAATCCATATTCACCTGATATTCAAAACTGCCTATCTCTTGCATTTCCCTCTAGTGAGATAGGAAAGATACCCAAAGGTAATCTACAATACAATAATAATAGAAGAAAAAAAACTTTGACCTTTTTTAAATTTATTTTTCTCCTCGCTGTTTTTATTTATTTTTTTTTTTTTAACTCTTTCCCCTTTTCTTATATATATATTTATTCTTTGCTAAGTTTATTTACACTTTGTCCTTTTTTTCCCCCTATATTTTCTCCTTGCTGGTTTTATTTAACCCCTTAAGGACTGAGCCAAATGTACACGTTGTGAACGAAACAAAATGTAAACAAAACCTTGGATTTTATGCCACATGTCTGTCAAATCGTAATTCACCTCTTTCATATTAAATGCACCCACCCTTATATATATCATTTTATTCAGGGGAAACAGGGCTTTCATTTAATATCAAATATTTTGCTATAAAACATAATTTAATATGAAAACAAATGGGAGAAAATAAGAATTGTTTTAATTTTTTTAGTTCTACATGACATTTTAACTGTGAATGTCATAATACTGTTTGCTTTTACTGCAAAAAAATTCACATATTTGTATTCAGCAAAGTCTCACGTGTAAAACAGTACCCCCTATGTACAGGTTTTATGGCATTTTGGGAAGTTACAGGGTCAAATATAGCACGTTACATTTGAAATTGAAATTCGCCAGATTTGTTACGTTGCCTTTGGGACTTTATAGTAGCCCAGGAATGAAATTTACACCCATAATGGCATACCATTTGCAATAGTAGACAACCCAATGTATTGCAAATGGGGTATGTCCAGTCTTTTTTAGAAGCCATTTGGTCACAAACACTGGCCAAAGTTAGCGTTAGTATTTGCTTGTGTGTGAAAAATGCAAAAAAACGCCAATTTTGGCCAGTGTTTGGGACTAAGTGGCTACTAAAAAAGACTGGACATACACCGTTTGCAATATCTTGGGTTGTCTACTATTGCAAATGGTATGCCATCATAGGGGTAATTTTCATTCTTGGGCTACCATGGGGTCTCAAAGGCAACGTAACCAATCTGGCGAATTTTAATGTGAAAAAAATGAAACGCAAGCCTTATGTTTGACGCTGTAACTTTTGAAAACACCATAAAACCTGTACATGAAGGGTACTGTTGTACTCGGGAGACTTTGCTGAACACAAATATTTGTGTTTCAAAACAGTAAAAAGTATCGCAGGAATAATATTGTAAGTGCTGTTTGTGCGTGAAAAATGCAAAAAACTTCACTTTTACTGGCGATATCATCGTTGTAATACATTTTACTGTTTTGAAACTCTAATATTTGTGTTCAGCGAAGTCCCCCGAGTAGAACAGTACCCCCCATGTACAGGTTTTATGGTGTCTTGGAAAGTTATTTTTTTTTTTTAAACTTTAACCCTTTTTACATTTTTCTCCTTGCTGTTTTTTATTTATTTTTTATTTTTTTTTACTTTTCCCCCTTTTCTTATATATATTTTTATTCTTTGCTGGGTTTATTTAAACTTTGTCCCTTTTTTTTTTCTATATTTTCTCCTTGCTGGGTTTATTTAAAATGTTTTCCCTCTTTTTTTCCTCTCTTGCTGTTTATATTCCCCTCCTTGTGGGTGCTGCTGCTGCTGAGCTAATTAGGGGGAGTGCCCCTTAATTTCCACCTGTGTGGGATTTGTATTGCCAATATAAACCCACTAGTGACTCACAAAACTTGTTTACTGGAGTTTGCTTGAAAGTAGGCTATTTCAAGTAGTCTCTTTTAAGTAGGAGTTAAAACAACAGGAGTTGAAACTACAAGGGAGTTTAAACCAAGAGGGTAAATTATTGTTTTGCTCACTTATGTTTTTGGTAAGTGGGGATGAGTGCTAGCAAGATTGCGAGTTTAACCCCTTAACGCCGTTAAGGCGTTCTATGCCGTCCCGCTTTAATTGGGCTTTAATTGGGTAGGTAAGTATCCCGAGCGCTCCAGGGCTCAAAGCCGTTACGGCGTTCTATGCCACCGCAACGGCTTTGAGCCCTGGAGCGCCTGGGATACTTACCTACCCGATGCTCCGCTTCGGGAGGACTGCCTCACAGCCCAGGCAGCCCTCTCACTCAAAGAGTGATCACATGGCCACCTATAGCTGGATGTGGGTCTGCCAGCAGGGGGACTGTCTGAAATGACAGACAGTCCCCCTGCTGGTGGGAAACTAAAAATAAATAAAAATATTAGACATGTTTTAAAATAA